TATCTCTGGCGAGAGTCACGAGACCAGGCGTTGCTCTGATTCTTCGCCTGAGGTAGGCATACAATCGCTTTGGTGCTTGTCCTGAATCCGCTGCTAGTCGTTCCTCGAATCTGGTTCTCTTGCATTTTTTTAGTGCAGTACAATGATTCCGAATACATCGATATATCTCATATCCTGCACCTGTTGCACGGCACCTGGACCAGGCTTTATTCCGCTGCCGGAGGCACGCCCGCAGTTCTCGGTCAAACCGCGGCGAGCCCATAGTGTGTGTTTGGTGGCGGTGAGGTGGAGAAAATTTCAGTACGAGTTGCTGGATTCTATGACGAACCAACTTCCAGGATACATCCACATCCTCAGGGTTCCGGGAATCCCAATTTGTGAGCGATGCAGTCTGACGCATATCCGGAAAGCATGAGCGCCACACATTCCGTCCGTCCTGTGGTCTGGCCGTTTGGAGTATGCCACGCCTCCAGTGCATACGCAGAACGGAGTGATCACTAGATGCAACTGGTGCAAGGAGGTCAATCCTAGTCGTATCTGATTGCTTCGGCGACAATACCAGGTCAAGGATGGATCTTTCATCCCCAACTATCCGCTTGGGCACGTGAACATGCTGAACAAGCGAGAGAGCCCGGACAGCGAAAAGAAGTTCTCTGGAAAACAAATCTGCGTGCTGAGAGCAGATGTCAGTTTCCCAATCAACATGGGGCGCGTTGAAATCACCCAAGACAAGACAATATCCATCGCAGGCGTACCTCTGTATGCTGGCCAGCATGCAGAGCTCAGCTCCGGTGGTGTGATTATTTTGGTCCACTGTTTTTCATGAGCAGAAATGTTCATAAAATACCCTAGTTAAGGGAAATCCCTGTTTTCACCATTGACTGTCATTTGAGGCTGAGATGAAGCCTAAACACTAAATGAGAGCATAAATCGGATTTCCTATCAGCTTCTCTTACTAAGCTTAGCACACATTTTAGCTGTTAATTCCAGTAAACGGAAATGGCTATTCACTGTCTGTAGTTAGCACATAGCAACAGACGTCTATCCACGCAACTTTGAGACATTGTGTGTATATGTGCATTTGTGCAACACGTTTGTGTTAAGGCTACTACACAAAACCAGAATGCTGACTTATGCTTTTGAAAATATGACCATTTCTGTCTCAAAATCGTTGATCCCACTTATCGTGAATGTGTCTAAATGAGTGTCTTTAAAACCAAACAATTGCTTTTTCTCAATCAAAAGAGATCAAACCGATTTGCATGGATGCATACGCAGTCACAGAAAGCTAGGGTAATAAATCGGATGTTCACTTAGGATACAGAAAGGCCGGAAGGTAACAAGGGTCAATCTGAATTCCGATGTTTTGCTGCTATCATCAAACCCTATTGGACTTAGTGAGAAATACTTCCTTGTAACTGCCACTTTAGTTAAATTTGATTCTGATCAGCTTCTTTGAAAATCGGAGAACTCTCAGTTAGTATACGACCAGAAGTACCCGAGATGATATTGGGACTTTAGTCCTATTCTTTTCCACTTTCATTATTTAAACGAACAGTGGTGAAATATATTTTCAAAGAGAAGACGATGAACAGTTAATAGGTTGTAAAGGGCGGTAGTGACTCGGTGGTAACATCACCAAGTTACCACCCGTGGAATGCGCTTGAGGCCCACCACCACCACCGCCTAACTTTCCCTATTGTGTGTTCAATGGCAGCCCTTTGATTGGCCGCTTCCCCCTTCTGGAAACTTCGTATCGTTGTATGTTCAGTGAAAGGAGCTAAAAGGAAAAGGAAAATAAAAAATAAAAAGTTGGTTCTATCCTGCTAAAGAAATCTAACGCCTCGCCTCTACATATTTTTTGGCTTGGTACTTTTTTGGTTCTCACTCTTCAATCATATAATCTATGGTTCTTTTCCCTTTTCACTCATTAGGTGTTTTATTTATCTTTTGTGTATTCCATAAAGGAAGTGAAAGAAAAAGGAAAAGGATTCGAATGGAAAAATTAAGGGGTCATGGTTGGATTCGAACATGTTGGATCATCAGAGCACAATTCGTCCGATTAGATCCACCATAGAAACTGAAGTTTCAGTCATTAAATAATCGTACAATAAGGTACTTGAAACTCTCAGTGTAAATACTAAGGATAAACAGAGAATCCTTAAAATAACGACTTTGAAATCTGCTGCTAATCAGTGTGATATTAAATCCAAATTTCTTAAAATTCGGTCACAATATAAGTCAGCTTTAAAGTGTAAAACATTTCTCCACTCTCAATCCACAATGTGATGTTATCCAGCAATTTGAACTGAGTTATTCGAATGAATCATTGCTCATAGTAACTTTTCCTAACGAAAACATAATAAATATCCGTAGTTCGTTATTTGAATGATCAATCCTGCAACAATTTGTAGTGTATCTAACTGTACTTCATATATAATTCATATTTTAGCCGCCAGCAACAAAACTACACCGGAACTGCCTGAGTCCAGCCTCAGTGTGCATACTACCGGATTGCCAGATGAAGATCCAACCACAATCTACTCCTTAGAGCCTCCATCCGGAATACTGAATCCTTTGGCAAATGGGACCCTCCCAAATGACATCGAATTGTTCAAATCCCCATTGGATCTGGAACGAGAACGTTTTCAGTTGGCACAAAAAGAGGTACAAGAAACTGTCGGTCAATCGTTGGATCCGTGGTTTATCGGGCTCAAATATGCTCGAATAACTGAGCAGTGCATAAAGTCTCATGCGGATATTTTGACCATATGGGAGGCGAAACAACAGGCATTTTCGGAACAGCAACGTCAATGGGAGGAGTATCATGCGGTTCAGAGGAAATTACGTAATCAGGAAAAACGATCGCACATTGATCTGTTGAAATCTATCCAAGTACGTTTAACCTTACTTCTGTTCAGTCCTTTCGTTCTTTTCTCAATTTAGACCTTTAATCACAAATCAGATCATGTAAATAACATGGTTCGTTGTTGAAGATGCGTATCTTCCCTCGTTTTAAATGTACCGGTTATTTGGATTTGTAGCAAATTTATTACTACTGAATCGTTTCCTGTTTTGCCTTTAAGAAAAATAGATTGCATTTCTTTTGTCCTGGTTTTCCGTGATCTTTATAATAGTTTGGGGATAAGGAATTCACTAATGTGTGTGCGGTATCTATTTTGCCCTAATATCCACCTGCATTGGCTTCCAACGACCACTAATGTTGCTTTCTTATGTCAGACTATAGCACTTCATCAGCAGCACTTCCGTGCTTGTTATGCTGCATACAAAACTAAAGTTGCATGCCCATATGCGCACCTTTTCAGTGTCCTCAGTCAAAGTGTGAAAATGAATGTATGTGACTTCGCAAAAGCATATACATCTTCTTATTGTTAATCAACAATAAACTTGTCTCGTGGTTTTTAGAAAAAAACCGACGATTGAAGAAAACATGCGTTCTATTTACGCTTGATCATTCATCTGTCGCTCAATGATCAGCTTACCAGATGAAAAATAACTAGTTCCTTTTGATCCCTCCATACGGCTCCCGAATGCAACAAAATATCAGAATTAGGAGGATACATACTTTAGTAGACGCGCCAAATCATCCTGGAATAAATCTAATAGATGACGGGTGAATCAACTCAATCCATTGTCGGAGACTTTCGTGAGGCTTCATTTTATAACATCATCATAATCGAGTCCCTATCAGATGGGGACTATTTTGATGTAAATAAACTTATCTTTGAATAGATCTTGTATTTGCATAAGCCATTCAGTTGGTCGCATCTTGAAAATCACATGTCCGTAGACATATTAATAGGCATCTATCCCAACAAACACCCACGATATTAGAGTTGTACAGCAGCATACCAACAGGGTGTATGACCTTATCTGCTCACATCTTCAATGATAACACAATCAAACAACCATATGGGAGTTTAGCACGTGCAAACGTTTGGGACAATTAACTGGTTAATCCACCGATGATACTTTCAGTTACAGAACTTCTAGATTTAGCGGTCACATCACTTTGAGGCTAATCCGTATAAAAGATAGTAATTTTGACAGCCAATTCAAGTCTCCGAAAAGATCAACAATCAGTTTCTTGGGGTGCCTTTCCGAGTTCAGAATGTTAAAACCTCCTCAACCGGGTCAGCGCACAAACTCAAAGTAACTCCGAACGGTTTTCAACCAAATTATGCATGATTGTTCAACCAAAACTGGTTCAACAAGTTTCGGGCATCTGATTGGGACGTATTAAACAAAATAGTCTGAATATTCGAATCGGCCGACATATTTTCAAAGGTTTCAATAACCGAAGAATCTGAAGGATGTGCGAAGACAAGCACATCGAATAAATGTTGACAAGATGACAAAATGCTTATTGAATATCTGTGAAATACGTTTTCAAGTCAAGTTCAGTCAAGTCAAAGTAAGCTTTATGCACTTTATGCAGCGAATTATAACCTGAAGTTCGTTAGAAATGCATTCTTTCTTGACTGTTCCCCCCACAAGCCTATATATAAATGATTAAAAGAGAACCAAAAGCACATAATCGTGATTTCGCAATCCCTACGCGTACATGGATCCAATAGGAAATGGATCACCACTCCCATTGCGCTTACAGTGATGTACTGTGGTTCACTGCGTACAGACTGTGAAACGGTCTGATTCGTTACCAGGGCGTGACATGATTAAGCCGCTCGGGTTCCACCTCTCTGGGGTTCGGAGTTCGAGGAGTGATTTTCTGGTGACACCTAATGGGAAAGAATTGACTGCTCATGTGTTTCAGTCAATCTAAATTGTTTTGGTTTGTTTGTTAAGATTCATTTCAAAAGTAAGCATTCAGATACTTGAGAATTTCTAATATTCGAAACCTGAATTAAGTGAGAACAATGCAATTCACTCGTATTTTGGAAACCGTTTTTGTAAATACGATATCTATTGACGCAATGCAATTATTATTTTGTTGTATTCCGAACAATTTAGGGACTGACCGTTACCTTGTTATTATCCGATTGGAAAAATTCACTCCAAAAACCTTCGTAAACTGTTCATTTTACCATTTGGCAGCTACTGACAGATCGAGTGCGAGCCGAGTACCACCAAGAATGCGAGGCCCAGCGGCGTGCGCGCATTGATTTGTATCAACAAAGGAAACTAGAGTTATGTCAACAGACGGAGGAAAATGAGCCACCACTGCAACAAACTGAACCTTCAGCGAAAAGCAAGCAGGCCAGGAGCAGCAAATCAGTGACAAGCGGAAATAGTAATAAAAGTCAATCCGCATCACGTGGACGAAGCAAAACTTAGGTTTGTGCAATTTTGTGGAACAGCATGAAACTGATAACTGATTTATAAATTCCGATTCCTTCACTTTTATAGATGAATCGACAAATAGATTGTTTTTTGTTACACTCTGTGTTCTTTATCTCATTCTATTGTTGTTCCGTTGGTTTCCTACCAAAGATTGAAAAACAACTCCCGAAAGTTCACATAAGGGCAAATGAATGAGTTTAGTTTGTGGAACTGCAAAGGCCAATGTGATGTTCGAAAGGTGGGATGGATTAAGGTTAACAAGTGCACATTGCTCGATAATCTGATGATTGTATTTTGCACGGTATCTAATGCGCCAACAAACCCTTCCGTTCATTTCTCACAGTATGTAGCAATGATTTTCCACTGTCCAGTCAGTTCAAACTGCATGAATAAAAATTAAATATATTTACCTAACGTGATAGGCCATATGGATAATCACACGACCTATGTTAATTCTGAGAGACTGACCCAAATAAGTGCTGTTAGCGACGCCGTGTCACAGCTTGTTTCGCCTACAACATTCCCCTCGCAATGTAACACCAGAGTTTCTAACTTGATAGAATTAAAATGGTATTGTCCCATATCTCTCTCCGGGCGAGCTATAAGCATATCATGCTCCGCACTTGTGAAAGGCATCCGATAAATGACCAGGTATAACAAGCAAGCAGAAAAACAACGGGCTCGTTGATATTTTTC